CCAAAGTAAGTAGAAGGAAGAAAATAATAAATATCAGAATGGAAGTAAATGAAATAGAAAAAGGAAAAGAACAGAGAAAAGCAATGAAAGGAAAACTAGTTTATTGAAAATCAATAAAATTGATAAAACTGTAACTGGACTGATTTAAAAAAAAAGGACATAGATTATCAAGATCAGGAATGAAAGAGGACATCAGTACATATCCTATAGACATTAAAAGATAATGAGGTAATATTGTGAACAACTTTTGCCAATGAATATGACAGTTTATATGAAATGGACAAATATCTTGAAAGACAAAAATTACTTAAAGTGTCCAGAATAAATTGAAAATCTGAATAGATCTGTATCAAGTAAAGAAAGTGAATTAGTCATTTACAGCTTCCTACAATGAAAAGCTCAGGCTCATGTGATTTCTTACTGGTGAATTCTATCCAACATTTAAGGCAGATATACTAGGAATCCTTCACAACTTCTTTAGAGAATAGTGGGGAAGGAACATTTACCAGCTCATTAATGAGCTTGACATTACCCTGATATTAAAGCTAGACAGCGGCAGCACAAGAAATCTACAGACCAATATTCATGAGAATAGAAGCAAAAATCTTTAATAAAATATTAGCAGATTGAATAGCAGTATGTATGTGTGCATGTATATATGTATGTATGTAAATTTTAGTACACCTTAAGGAGATTTAGTCCAAGAATACAAAGTTGATTTAACATCTGAACATCAGTTAGTATATCATGTTAATAGGGTAAAGAGTAAACACCTTAAGATCATCTCAGTAAATGCAGAGAAAGCATTTCAGAAAACACCTATCCATGATAAGAACTCTCAGAATACTAGGACTTGAAGTGAACTTCCTCAGCTTAACAAAGTGCTTCTATGAAAAATCAACAGCTAGTATTCTTAATGATGAGATCATTAAGACTGAATGCTTTTCTACTTAAGGCAAAGATCTCTGCCCTCACTATTTATATTCAGTATTGTAGCAGGTCAGAGAAATAAAGGGCATACATATGGGAAAGGAAGAAATAAAAACTTCTTTTATTCTTAGAAGATACGATCCTGAGATATTCTAGTGAGTGAATTCTCATAAATGAATTACAGGATACAAGATCAGGATACAAGTTCAACATACAAAATCAGCTGAATTTCTATGTACTAGCAATAGATAAATCAAAATGAAATTTATAAAACACTTCCATTCACAAGAGCATAAAAACAAGTAAAATACTTATGAATAAATACAGCAAAAGATGTGTAAGGCTTTTTAGAGAAAACTACTTAATGTTGCTGAAAGTTTAAGAAATACCTAAGCAAATAAAGGATATACCGTGGCTGTGGATTTGAAGTACAATATTGTTAAGATGGAATTCTTTCCACAGTTTTCTGTAGATTTAATGTAATCCCAATGAAACTCCCAGAAGCCTTACAATTTTTTTTAATTTAGAAATGGACAAGCTTATTCTAATATTTAAATGATAAGATAAAGCACCTGGCATAGAAAAATGGTTTTAAAAAGGAAGACCAAAGTTATTTAAGCAAAGTTGCATTACCTGATTTAAGACTTTACTATAGAGCTACAGTAATCAAGACAGTGTGGTATGGCATAGGGATAAAATATATAAACGTCGAACATTGAGAGTTCAGAAATGGACCCAAACCAACTGGTTTTTGACAAAAGTACCAGAATTATATGAGTAAAGAATTCTTTTTTTTTTTTCAATAAATGGTGCTGAAATAGCTAGGTATCCCTTCCCTCACATCAAACACAAAAATTAATTCAAAATAGGTCATAGATCTAACTGTAAGGGCTAAAGCCATGAAATTTTAGAAGAAAAATTTCTAGGAGAATATCTTTATTGCCTTGGATTAGGCAAAGATTTCTTAGCACACAAAAAGTATGAGCCATCAAAGAATAAGCTGTTAAACTGGACTTTATGAAAATTAAAAACTTTCATCATGAGAAGACACCACTAAGAAAATGGAATGATAAGCTGCAGATTGGGGGAAAATATTTGGCACACGTATATCTAACAAAGGACTTGTATCAGAATATAGGAAGAACTCTTATAACCCAATAAGAAGATTATTAACCTAATTTTCCAAAAAGGGGATAAAAGAATTGAACAGGCACTTTACAAAAGAAGATAATACAATTGACCATTAAGCACATGAAGTGATGCTCAACATCTTGGTCATTAGGGCAATGCAAATTCACATCAAAAAGATTTGGTTAGAAAGAGGGAGATAGGAAAAGGAATATGTAAGGTCAAAGGAAGGAGGTTTTGTTTGATTGTTTTAGGATGGAACTGGCTTTAAAAGTCAAATCCAATCATTTCCCCCAATCCATCACTTTTTTCCGATGTCTTATTTCCAGCTGTATACAGTATTCAGTATTCCGTCGGCACCCTTACTTCAGTACGTGTTAATGCAAAACTGTTTCTTTCCTTCTTAAGTCCTGTTCTTTCCCACTTCATTATCATTACAACAGCACTATGGTATCAGATTCAAAATTATAACATCATTTATTCATTCTTTGAGCAAACAAACATCTGTCATATTGTACACCTTAGTAATTACCTACCTACATCTGGGTGGAGATATTAAGTAGGTGGTTGGAGATCATGAGAGAGCTTGTGGCTAGAGATACAAATTTGGCAGTTGTCAGTGGATAAATGGTGTTTAAAGCAATATGTCTGAATGAGATCACTTGCTGGGGAGAAGTCAAATGACTGAACCCGTAGAGAGTTTAACTTTTAGAAATCAGCTAAGTGAGAGTGGCTCAGCCAACAAGAATAGAATGGATCAGGCAGTAAGAGGAGTGTTTGAGGACAAATCAAGATATGGTAGGAAGAGGAAAAATATATTTTGTGAACTACTGTTGGTAGGTCAAGTCAGAGGAACACTGAGAAATTATTGCTGGATTTACCAGTGTGAAGGTCACTGATGCCCTTGACAAAATTCTTGTCAGTGGAGTAGTAAGGATGATAACCTGATTCAAGTAGGTCTGAGAGAAAATGGAAGAAGAGGAAGCAGAGACAGAAATGATAGCTTTTTCTTGAAAACTTATGTTCTTAAAAGAGTATTGGATGTCACTGGAAGGCAATATGAAGTCATAGTCTTGTTTTATTTTAAGATGGGGGATTTTATAGCAAGTTTATGAGTCGATGATGATGATGTAAGAAAGCAGGGAAAGTTGACAGTGTAGTGGAGAGTGGGAGGAGTGGTGCCCCTGGATAGGTGGGGAGGAATGGGATCCAGTGCTCAAATGAAGAGGCATGGCCTTTAGTAAGAACATAGACAGTTCCTCCATATGACAGGAAGGAAAGCCACATTGTGGGTGTAGATTCAGGTCAGTCAGCAGGTAATTCTTGAGTTTCTATTGTGTCCAAGGCACTATTCTTAAGAAAACATAACTTTAAAAATATATCTAAATTAAAGAAGTTCAAATAGAGATATAGATGGTTTAATGAGGTGCCTGTTTTTTGTACATCATTGCTAGAAACTTGTTTATTATTATACTATCTGTCATATGTTTACTGCTTGTTATACTACAATGTGATACTAAAAACCCCCAGTGTTTTTTCAGTAGTTTTTGTATGCACATCCCTTTTCTCCCAATTTGATTGTATGCTCCTTGTGGATAATTGCTTTCATTTATAGCTGAAGTGCTCCATTTGATCCATTTGAACCACTCCTCAGGTGATCCTTAGTGTGCTGTGCTCTTGATGCAGTAAGATTTTCACACTGACTTATGGGAAGAATTGCTGGAGACAGTGGGAGTTGTGTGTTTTCCGTGGGACTTTTCTTACTATATTTCTTACCCTTAAAATAAATCACATTTTCTATGTACAAAATTGAACATTTTTTCAGTTTTCAGTAATGGTATTATGGAATATTGGAATATATATTTTTATGTGTTAAATTTGAGTTAAAATTTAAATGACTAAAGATGAGAAAGGTATAATTTATGTTTGGAGTCTCTTGCATGGTCCTTTGAAAATTCTTAGTTTTTACCTTGATTCCTTTTTTCTACTTTCTATATTCAGTGGCATCTTTTTTCCCCACCCTAATAGAGGAGAAAGTAAATTAGAAAACAGTGAAGTTTCAGTTTTTAACTCTTTTTTCATGCCAGCTTCTGTAACCTTTTGTACAGTAATGAATTGCCTCCAGACTGTATCATTCACTGAGATATTTCTACTGTTAAATCTCGCTACTTTTCTAGTTCCTTCCCTTTATGGTAAGGGAGGTGAGGTGAATTTCATGCAAAGGTAAGTAAAAAGTTCTTAGAAGATTTTAAGACTCCACTGTTAGCTTTTACCGTGGGTTATTTTGTGTTTTATTTTGTCATCTGTATTTCTAGAGTATGATAAGCATCATCATTGTATACACCTACTTATTACCGTGCAACATTAATATGACAAATTTGGTGGGTTAAAAAGCACACGTTTACTGTCTCAGCTTCTGTGTGTCAGGAATGTGTGTACAGCTAAACTAGATTTTCTGCTTCAGGGTCTTGTAAAGCTCTAGTCAGGGTGTCAGCTGGGGCTGTGGTTTTATGTGAGACTTGACTGGGGAAGGATCCAATTCCAGATTCATGTGGCTTTTTGGCAGAATCCAGTTCCTTGCAGGTTTCTGGACTGACGGTCTTAGTTTCTTGACCCATGGCCCTCTCCATTTGTCACCTCATGACATTGTAGCTTGCTTCTTCAAGGCCAACAGGAAGAGATGCCTCCAAGACAGCTTTGTGTAATGTAGTCATGTATATGTAATCATCCTGTCTTGCGTAGAAGCGTGTTTCAAGTCTCATCCACACTCAAGGGAAAGGGATCGCACAAGGACATGAACATCAGGAAATAGGCCACCCTAAAGTCTCTCTGCCACAGTTCATTGTTATATCTTAACTTGAGGTGAATGCTTCTCTTATTCAGTATTTTTGCCACTTGTTTAGATGTAATGATAACTTTGGATTTTCTATTTTTCTAACCAGATTCCGTTGGCCGGGACATCCCCAAAATGCTTGAATTATTTAAAACTGGACATGAAATTAAGGTAGATGAAGAAAGGGAGAACTTTCTGGAGACCAAAATAGCAACAGTAAGTGATAGTGAAAATTATTCAGTGACCCCTTTTCTTTTTTTCTTAAGTGATTCACTGATAGTTTATAATATACCAGTCCTTTGAACTTGTTCTTATCACTAGCATTAGGAGTGGCACTAAATATATACATAGATAATTTTTTTTATAGATTGAACTCATAAATTTTAATGGTGCTGTAGAATTCCTTTCCAGAGTTATGTGCCACTCCCTGACATTTACTTGTAGTTTCCCTTATTTATCTATTCTGTGAGTGTTATTTTTGCTCTTTAATGTTTTAAGCATTTTGAGAGTAGAACTTAGATCTTATATATCTTGTGTAGAATATTGCATAATGCTGAGTCCATAGCAGGTATTAAATACTATAATGGAATTGACAAATTTGGTTTATTTTAATGAATTGTTTTTGATTATTCCTGTCTGTGTTTTGATAACTGTTTGCTCTCTTACAGAAGATGCTGGAAATCAATTTCCAGAGCCATTTTTAGGACACTAATATAGATATGTCAGATTTTTATAAACTGTGTTTTTTACTTATAAAAATACATAGTTATTTGCAAATATTTTATAATACTACAGAATCTCTAACATACCTATTTATGTAATATTTTCTTGTGCAGTAACTATAGGGATAATAATAATATTAACAAAATTTAAACAGTGCCTACCAATTGCCAGGCACTATTCTAAACAATTTTCATGTATTTTGTCTTTTAATCCACAACCCTATGAGAGATAAATTATCATCCCTATTTTATAGATGAAGGGATGGAAGCCCAGAAAGGTTAAATAATTTTTCCAAAGTCTCACAGCTAGTGTGAGGCACACTAGGTATTTGAACCTTGGGAGTCTCCTCAAGAGTCTAGGCTCTTTACCCTGTGCCATCTTGCCTCATGACTGGAGTTACTTGAGTAGCTGTTACTCCTCCTTCCATTCTACTCTGAAGGAATTCTGCATTATAGCCAACAGCTAGTGGTCCAAGCTAATAAAGCTGTGCCCACTGTAGATCATCAGAAATATAAAAAAGGTACTTAGCTAGTTTTATAGAAGGAAACTTACTTTAGAAAGGGGGCAAAGCAAGTTTAATCCAGTCAGGAATTGGGAAATCCTTCAGTACAAACATCATTATCATCAAAGCTTAGCTCTAATTCATTTGGCATTGAGCTCTGCTGGAATCTGATGTTGGAATTTCCTTGTTCCCAAAAGGCTCTTGGCAGTGCTTCTCGTTTCTTAGGGATGATAACATTTTAATGTAAAAAACAAACAAAAAACCAAATACAAATTTTAAGAGAATATTCTGGAGCTATGGAGACTTGGGCTTGACTATCTATTTGGCTGCTTAAAGAATGGCAGATTTTAAATAATTTTCCTTTTGTTTTTTCATTTAGTTTTCAAATTGAAGTATAGTTGTTGTATAGTATTATATGTTACTATACCATAGGTATAATGTAGGTATACGATGTAGTGATTCATAATTGTTAAAAGCTGTACTCCATTTATAGTTATTATAAAAATGTTGGCTATATTCCCTGTGTTGTACAAATATGCTCTTGTAGCTTATTTTATACATAATAGGTTGTACCTCTTAGTCCCCTACTCGTATATTACACCTTCCCCCTAAACAAGTTTCTTAATGTTGTTATGTCTCAAATTCCCACATCTATAAAATTTATATAGTAATATCTATTTCACAATGTGGTTTTGAACATAGAATTTTAAAATGATAGCAGCTATTGTTACTGTTGGTTGGACTTTTTGGGACTATAAAGTGTCTTTATAAGACTCTTTATAATTCCTAGCTGTATCTTTTTTCTTAAGTAATGTTTTCTTAGGTAATGGTTTCAGTATATTGAAAAGCTAATAGTTTATATTAGATCCTGACTCAGAGTATTAAAAAAATGGCATCTTATTCATTCTTTTTAACAAATACTATAGTGGTTGGCATGGGCTCCAGAACAGACCACCTCGATCTTTTAGAGATACCGTGCTTCTTCTTAATGAAAAAGAAATTTGTGTGCTGAAAGAGAATCTTTTCGAATACTTCTTAAATAGTGTAGTATTGTAGGAGGTTGAGAGAGTGGGTTTAAGATTCATACCATGTGGATCCAAGTCCTAGTTCCAGATTAGAACTGTGCTACCTTGCTCTCTGAGCCTCACTTTTCCTTCATTCCCCATTTTCCCTCTATGTAAAGTGAGGTTGATAATGGCATACTTTCTAGGTTAGAAAGGAGTAGATGAGATAATGGCCTAATAACTATTAAGCAGACTTCTTCTGGCTAAGATGGAGTAACAGGGACCTGATTTACCTTTCCACCTAAAGCAGTCAGCATTACCTTGATACCAAAACCAGACAAAGGAAATGACAGTCCAGTATTATTCATGGATGTAGATACTAAATTATAAACTAAATTTTAGCAAATAGAATCCAGCAATGTATAAAAAGGATAAACATCATGACCAAGTAGAGTTTATCCTAGGAACAGAAGGTTAGTTTAACATTCAACAATCATTATAATTTACCATATTAACAAACTAAAAATCAAGTTGTGATTATCTCAGAGAAAACATTTGACAGAGTCTAACACTCCTTCCTGATTGAAAAGTCTCAGCAAACTAGGAATAGATTAACATCCTCAACCTGATAAAGGGGATCTAGGAAAAATCAACAGCTGACGTGGTGCTTAGTGCTGAAAGGCTTTCCTCCTAAGATAAGGAACAAGATAAGGATATCCATTCCCACCCCTTCTGTTCAGCATTGATCTAGGGCATCTAGGTAATGCAGTCAGGCAGATAAAAGAGGCCTCCAGGTTAGAAGGGAAGAAGTAAAACTGTCATTTTGCACAAGATAGCACGATCTAGCTAGTAGAACAAGGAAGTGAGTTAAGTAAGGTTGCAGGATACAAAATCAATATACAGAAATCAATTTATTTCTGTGTAACAGCAAAGGACATTTAGAAATTAAAATTTAAAACTAAGAAATGCCATTTATAGTTTCCATACACTGGAAACTTCAAAATGTAGTTGAGAGAAGTTAAATAAAGAAGGTCTAAATAAATGATGAGATGAATCATACTCATGGATCAGTAAACTCGATATTGTTAAGATGTCAGTTGTCCCTAAAATAATGTATAGACACAGTACATTCTCAACCAAAGTCCCACTTATGTTTTTGTTAGAAATTGGCATGCTGATTCTAAAATTCATGTGGAAATACAAAGGATCTAGACTACCCAAAATAACTTTGACAAAGAACAAAGTTGGAGGTCTTTCTGATTTTAAGATTTATAAAGCTACAGTAATTAAAACAGTATGATGTTGATATCAAAAGAGACAAAATGATCAGTGGAATAGAATATAGAGTCCAAAAACAAACAAATAAATAAAAGATCAAAACTCACATAGACAACTGATTTAAAACAAATACAAAGGCATTTTTAATAGTGAGGCAAGAGAGTCTTTTCAACAAATGTACTAGAACAATTTATCTATATGTGATAAAATGAACTTTGATCCATACTTCATACCAAATATAATTAACTCAAAATGTATCAAAGACCTAACTGTAAACTCCAAATGAAAAAACTTCTAGAAAAAAAAGTTGCATTAGGGAATAATTTCTTAGGTTTGACACCAGAAGTATGATCCACAAAAGAACAGGCTGATAAATTGTACTTTATAAAAATTAAACCTTTTCTCTTTAAGAGATACTGTTGAGAGAATGAAAAGATAAATCACAAATTGGGATAAAATATTTGCAAATCATGTATCTGATAAATCCACAAAAGAACTCTTAAAACTCAGTAGTAAAAATATTCAGTTTTAAAAATCAGAAGATTTGAACACACCTCACCAAGGTGTGACAGACACATGGCAAGCAAATGACAAACACATTAAAAGATGCTCAGCATTATTAGTTGTTAAGGAAATACAAATTCAAACCACAATGAGATATCATTACATATCTATTACAATGACTAAAGTTAAAAAGACTGACTATACCAAGTGTTGGTGAGGATATGGAGGGAGTGGAATGCTCATATGCTCATATTTTACTGTGGGAATGTAAAATGATGCAACCTTTTTGACAAATAGTTTGGCAGTTTAAGAAGTTTAACGTCCACATACTATATGATCCTACACTTCACATTTTAAATATTTACCAAGGAGAAATTAAAGCATATGTTCATGCAAAGATTTGTAAACAAATGCTTATATCAGATTTATTTATTTTTTCTGTATATATATTTTTATTGACGTATAGTCAGTTTACAGTGTTACATCAATTTCTGGTGTGTAGCATAATGCTTCAGTCATACATGAACATACATATATTCATTTTCATATTCTTTTTCTTTTAAGTTACTATAAGATACTGAATATAGTTCCCTGTGCTTTACAGTATGAACTTGTTTATCTATTATATATATAATAGTATCTGCAAATTTTGAACTCCCAATTTATATCTTCCCACTTCCTTTCCCCTGGTAACCATAAGTTTGTTTTCTGTGTCTTTGAGTCTCTTTTGTAAATAAGTTAATTTGTCTTTTTTTTTTAATATTCCACATATAAGTGATATCAAATGGTATTTTTCTTTCTCTTTCTGGCTTACTTCACTTAGAATGACAATCTCCTGGACCATCTATGTTGCTATAAATGGCACTGTTTTATTATTTTTTATGGATGAGTAGTATTCCATTGTATAAATACACAACTTCTTTATCCAGTCATCTGTCACATTTAGGTTGTTTCCATGTCTTGGATGTTGTAACAGATTTATTTGTAATAGCCAAAAACCAGAAACATTTCATGTGTCTATTGACAGGTAAATGTATAAACACTCTTTTTATATTTATATAATAGAATATTTTTAATAATAAATAAACTGTTGATGCATGCTTTAACATGGATGAATTAAAAAAAATTATGCTTATTGAAAGAAGCCAGACAAAAAGGAGTACATACTATGTGATTCCATTTATGTAAACTTCTAGAAGCTGCAA